TTCCTTCTCATCGATGTTTCTATCTCTATCTCTCTTTCTCCCTTCCTCTCTCTCTAAAAATCAATAAACAAAAAATTTTTAAATAAATAAATAAACATAAATGGTGTACATTCTCCCATGAAAAGACACATAGTGGCTGAACGGATTAAAATGATCAAGATCCAATAATATGCTGCCTATACACAACTCACTTTAGCTTTAAGGACACACATGAACTAAGGTGAAGGTATGGAAAAAGATATTTCAAGCAATGGTGACCAAAAGAAACCAGGAGTAGCCAAACTTAGATAAAATAGACAAACTAAAAATGCTCAAAATAAACTAAGAAGGTCATTGTATAATGCTAAAAGGGGTCAGTTAATCAAGAAGATGTAACAGTGGTAAATACTTATGTACCTAACATCAAAGCAACTAAATATATAAAGCAAATACTAACAGAACTAAAAGAAGAAATAAATAGCAATACAATCATAGTTGGGGACTTTGCTACACAACTCACAACAACAGATGGATCATCCAGACAGAAAATCAACAAGGAAATAGCAAATGTGAACAATGTTGTAGACTAAATGGATCCAACAGACATATAAAGTATATTCCATCAAACAGCAACAGAATACACATTCTTATCAAGCACCCATGGAACATTTTCTACGATAAATCATATGTTAGGCCACAAAACAAGTATCAACAAATTTAAAAAGATAGAGATTATAAGTCTCTTTTCCAACCACAATAGAATAAAACTACAACTCAATAACAGTAGGAAATTCTGTTATGGAATTTCTGTTATGGAAAATTCACATATACATAGAAATTAAACAAAACACTGCTGAACAACCAATGGCTTAAAGAAATCAAAAGGAAATTTAAAAAACCACCTCCAGAAAAATGAATACAGAAATGAAATACACCAAAACTTAGGGGATGCAGCAAAAGCAATTCTAAGAGGGAAGTTTGTAGCAATGAATGCATACATCAAGAAAAAAGAAAGTTCTCAAATAAAGAACCTAACTTTACACCTCAAGGAACTAGAAAAAGAAGAACTAAACCCACAGTTAGCAGGGGGGAAAAAAAGAAAGAAATAAAAAGCAATCTACAAAGATTCAATGCAATCGTTATCAAAATTCCAATGACATTTTTCACAGAAACAGAATAAACAATCCTAAAATGTGTATGGAACCACAAAAGACCCAAATGGCCAAAGCAATATTGAGAAAGAACAAAGCCGGAGACATCACATTTCCTAATGTTAAACTATATTACAAAGCCACAGTAATCAAAACAGTATGGTATTGGCATGAAAATAGACACACTGATCAACAGAATAGAATAGGAAGCCCAGAAATAAAACCACACATGTATGATCAATTATTCTAGCACAAAGGAACCAAAAATATACAGTGGGGAAAGAATAGTCTCTCAATAAATGCTGTTGGAAAACTGAGCAGCGCAAGCAAAAGAGTAAAACTGGATCACTATCTTCCACCATACACAAAAATTAACTCAAAATGAATTAAAGACTTGAACATAAGACCTGAAACCATGACACTCCTAGAAGAAAACACAGGCAGTAAGTTCTTTGGCATGGGTCTTTACAATTATTTTGGGATTTAACAACTAAAGCAAAGGCAACAAATGTAAAACTAAACAAGTGGGACTATATAAAACTAAAAAGCTTCTGCATAGCAAAGTAAATAATCAACAAAATGAAAAGACAACCTACAGAATGGGAGAAAATATTTGCAAGCCTTGTCTGATAAGGAGCTAGTGTCCAAAATATATAAGAAACTCATACAACTTAATAGAAAAACTCCCATTTAAAAATAGGCAAAGGACCTAAATAACATTTATGCAAAGAAGATACTCAAATGATGGCTGACAGGTACATGAAAAGGTGTTGAACATCAAAACCACAATGAGTTATCACCTCACACCTGTTAAAACGGCTACTAATAAAAAAAAGAACAGCCCTGGCCTGTTTGGCTCAGTGGGTAGAGTGTAGGCCCTCAGACCAATGAGTTGCAGGTTTGATTCGGATCAAGGGCATGTACCTTGGTTTCAGTTTGTTCCTGGCTTTGGTCAGGGTCATGCGGGAGGCAGCCAATAGATGTGTCTCTCTCACATCAATGTTTCTCTACCTCTTTTCTTTCTCTCTTTCTCTCTCTCACTCTCTTTCTCTCTCCCTCCCTCCCTTTCACTCTATCTGGAGATAAATGGAAAAAATATCCTCTGGTGAGGATTAAAAAAAGAGAGAACAAATGTTGACAAGAATGTTAACAAAAGAGAACCTTGTACATTGCTGGTGGGAACACAGATTTGTGCAGCCACTACGGAAAACAATAGGGGTTCCTCAAAAAATTAAAAATAAAACTACCATATGATCCAGCAATTCCACATCTGGGTTTATATCCAAAGGAAATAAAATCACTATCTTAAAGAGACAGCTGCACCCCATTGTTCACAGCATTATTTATAATAGCCAAGATATGAAACAACATTAAGTGCTCATCAATGGATGAATGGATAAAGAAAACGATACACACACATGCACACACGCACACACACAGTATATAAAAACTAGTTAGCCATAAAAAAGGAAATCCTGCCATCTGCATCAACAAAGATGGATCTTAAGGGCATTATGCTAAGTGATATAAGTCAGAGAAGGACAAATACTGTATGATCTCACTTACATGCTTAGAAAAACCAAACTTGCCTGGCCACTGTGGCTCAGTGGTTACAGCATCAGCCCCACACACCAAAGGGTCGACTCCCAGTCAAGGGCACATACGTGGTGTGCAGGTTGTATCCCCAGCCCTGGTCAGGGAGGCAACAGAGCCTGTCTCTCTCAGATCAATGTTTCTCTCTCTCTCTCTCTCTCTCTCTCTCTCTCGCCCCCCTCTCTCCCTCCCTCCCTTCCACTCTCTCTAAAACAATCAATGGAAAAAATATCCTAAGGTGAGAATTAACAAAAGAAAACAAAAAAACCAAGCTCTCAGAAACAGAGTAGACTGGGGTTGCAAGAGGGTGGGGAATAAAGGGAGTCAAAGGGACAGAGGGTACAAACTTCCAGAACAAGTCCTGGGGACGTAACATACAGCATGGCGACTCTAGTCTACAATAATGGACGGTATATCTGAAAGGTGCCAAGAGAGTAACTCTTAAAAGCTCTTAACATACATATAAAAAATTGTAACTGTGTGAAGTGATGGACGTGTTAATCAACCCCATGGTGGTAATCACCTCACAGTATATACATAAATCAAATCTTCATGTTGTACACCTCACACTTGCACAATGTTGTAAGTCGATTATATCTCAATAAAGCTGGGATGGGGGGAATTAAATAAAAAAACAAGACCAGTGTTGCCTTCTCTCCGGCAGGTCCCACTTGCCACCTCTGGGACTCAGTGCTAGAGGAGAAAGCACAACAGGCCAGGGCAAGGCCTGTTCAGCCTGCCCTCTGGCTGGGCCTGGGAATGGCTGGGCCTTATCTTGCAAGGGAGCTGGTTGTTGCCTTGAGCTAAGGCAGAGGGAAGGGACAAGACCTTCAGAGCTTCCTCTGGGCCCCAGAGCCCTGTCTTGGCAAGGAGGGGGAGGGGACTAGGCGGGTGTAAGGAGCCAGCCCCTGCTGTCATCTATCCAGCAGCCACTGAAAGAGTAACTGACAGCAAACCCCGAACCAGAAGGTTCCCAGGCAGGAAGGGGACTACTTCTAATGCTGGCTGACCATCTCCCTGGCCTCTGGCCTGGCTCGAACGAACAAGGTGGCCACTAGGGCTGAGGCCCAAGGCCAACTTACTGGGTGGCTCTCTAACCCAAATGCTCAAGCTGACTCCTGGGCTGAGGCCCAAACTTGAACACAGTACCATCTTCTAGCACTAGATCTCTCCCTCTTTACTCCTCTTCCTTCTCCCCTTTGTCTTCACATCTGTGGTTATTTTAACAAGTATTTATTTAGCACAGACTGCCTACCCAGCCAGAAGGTAGGCACTACAGGAGAAATTTATTCATTCATCAAACACATCACATTCCAGACAGTGCTCTGGGCCTGAAACAAAACAAATCAATTCCTGACCAAAAGACCCAAAGATTGGAAACAATCCAAATATCCACTAACTGATGAGCAGATAAACAAAACATGCTATATCTGTACAAAAGAGTATCATTCAACCATAAAAAAAAGAAAATGCTACATACAACATGAATGAACCTCAAAAACAGTATGTTAAATGTAAAGCAATCACAAGAAACCACACCGAGTATGGTTCCATTCATAGGAAATGTCCAGAAATAGGCAAATCCACAGAGGTAGAAAATAGGTCAGTGGTTGTGGAGGACTGGGGGAGTGACCGCTAATGGGTACAGGGTTTTGGGGAGTGATAAAATTTTCCTAAAATTGATTGTAGTGATGGCTGCATAGCTCGGAATGTACGGGAAACCGCTGAATTGTACACAAGTGGGCAAATTATATAGTATGTGAATTATATGTCAATAAAGCTGATTTTTTAAAAAACCCCACCCTGATGTATTGGGAGAAGAGAGGGAACCAGAACAATAAATATTTAAGTAACCATACAAAATATCAGCACTTTGGGGGACAATAAAGCAGAGGAAACAGTAGAAAGATAGCATCTGCAACTTTTCGAGAATACAGACAGATGCTTCGCTCAGGATGAAGACCTGAAGGGCCCGAAAGAGCATCAGGCAGTTAGCAGAGGGAAGAGTGCTCCGGGCAGCAGCTGACGGAAATTCAAGTGCTCACAGTGCCCGGCAGACACGAGTCCAGCTTAAAGCAAAGAGCTCTAAACAGCTCTGAGTGCTGGGAGAGCATGTGTGGCAAGGCTGTGTCTGGAATTATGAACACCAATTCAGGGTCCAGTCAGTGCAGGGACAACGGCAGCTCTAAAAATATTTGTTGAATGATGAGTAATGAATCAACAAAGTCTGCCCTGAGGCTGCCTCCCACCCTACCAGAAACTTGAGGCCCCTGTTACCTTTCCAGCCCAGTTTGATGTTCCACTCATAGAAGAAAATCAGCTTTCCTTTGCGGCTGCTGCAGGAAGCTTCACCTTCCACCTGCTTCAGCTCACTGATCTGGCAACGACCAGCCTCATTCTCCACGACGATGCCCACCAGGAACTCGCAGAGCTTCCCTTTGGACCAGCTGGTGGCATCCCGCTCTGTCCTGCCAGAGACCAGAAGGGCAGAGCAGTGCATGGAAGGCCCAAGTGATATCACCTGCCCAGCCCAAATCAGCCAGATTCCTCTCAAGGGAACTTAAAAGAACTGTCACCCTACAAACATGCTTCTCAAACCAACTTTCTACCAAAAATATTTTAATCCTCCTACTTGGTTCCTTAAGATAGTATTTTGTCTTAAACACACCAGCCTATTTGGGGAAAAGGGGATCCAGCAATCTGGCCAGTTGAAAATGAATGGGCAAAGCCTGGACCATATGAAAAGATAGTAATAACTGAAATAATTCTAATCATAACAAGACAAATTATCAAGTGTGTTCACACCTATTATTTCATGCAATCTCCCCAAATAATATTCCCATTTTGGGGAGCGGAAACGAGCTGAGGGAAGTCCATGGGGATGGGGATGGGGATGGGGATGGGAAAGGACAGGTCAGCTCCCCCAGTAAATGATTCCTTCACAGGCTGAGGGCTTTGCTCTGCCCTAGACCTGCCTCAGCATCACCTTGACGGCCTTGAGGTACCACAGACCTCAGAGGAGCAGGGCACAGAGCATCACTTCCTGAAGCTCTGGGGGGAGAGAGAGGCAGAAATAAGCCCGTGTTCCAGATAAGGCACAGAAAAGAAGGGTAACTTGTTCAAACTCCTCCGAGGCAGCGCTCACCGGAGACCCATCACGTTAGATGCAGAATTAGATCCAAATTCCTATTCTTGCCACTATGCACAAACCAAAACACACACACGCTCCCCCCAACACGCACTTTTAGCTTCATTTTTACTTCCAGAACATCAAGAGGATTAGGTGTAGGAGGGGGTATGGGAAGGGAAGAACTTAAGTAAGGGTACAGGCTGTCAAAGTTGAAGAGGTATGTCAAATGCCATTCTTGGAGCCCTCGAAAGGAGGAAACAAGCCCCAGAGGCAGTGCACCTAGGATGCCAGCCAGGTCTCCAGCCTCAGAGGGCTCTCCCAAGCCCAAAGGCTACAAAGAGCCGCACTTAAAGCAGAAGGGGGAGGGGAAGGGAATCCACTGCACCTGTGCAAGCCCCCGCCCCTCGGAGGAATCGCCGCGGCCTTGGAGGCGCCCGGAGACCGGCGACCCTCCGCCCCCGGCCCCAGGGCACAGGGCGCCCGGTGCTGCAGAGGGGCCCGACCGGCCCGCCGGGCGGCTCGGGAGAGAGGAGGCCCAGAAGCCGCAGCCCGGCCCCCGCCCGGCCGCACCAGTGCCAGTTGTTCACGTTGGTCCCGTCCTCCCTCTCCTCCACGATCCAGCGCGGGTCCCCCTGGCCCCACTTGGCCATGTCTGCGCTGGAGGCGCGCCCTCGGCGGACAACACGGAGGGGCCGCGACTGCGGTGCGGCTCCGTCGCCGGCGCTTCCGGCCTCCGAGCCGCCCCGCGCGTTCGCAGCGCCCTTAAAGCGCCAGCGCTCCCGCCCCTGCGCCGCTCCGCCCGCCGCTCCGCGCGCCGCGCCGGTCCCCGGGACACCAGCCGGGCCGGGTCGCCGGAGGAGGGGGCAGCGGGTGTCCGAAGGCTCTGGGGAGCGTATGGGCCTGGGTGGCGGGGAACGGGGGCCCCGGAGAGGTCGGCCCAGGAATCGGGTTGCGGGGGGCAGTGCTGGGAAGAAGTGGGGGGTCGGGGCTTAGGGGGTGGGGTCAAGGGCAGTGTGCGGGGGGGGGGGGGATGGAGGGTGGGAGCTGTTCCAATACGCCGGGCCTGTTGGGGCGATCCAGCAGGCACAGGGCGGCGTCCTGGAGGCCGAGTCGGGGGTGGGGGGCGGGGGGAAGGTCCCCGGGCGCTGCCCCTACTCGCAAGTGCTGGGCCTGGAAGGGGACCTCGGCCACCTCCTGTGAAGGCCGAGACACCGCCCTTCAAAGGCTCCCCACGGCAATGATGAACTTCAGTGCTCGCAAGTGGGCTGTAAGGGGCGCCTGAGAGCCGTTCTGGGGCCGCAGCCTGGAAGCGGCTGGCCAAGCAGTGCTGACTCCAGGCGTGTGGACACCACCCGAGCGCTTGAGGACGCTGTTTGCTCTACGACCGACCTCTGAGGTCGGTGCGCGCCCACGGTGCGTGTGGCCCCCACGCAGCGTGGGCTCTTTCCGCCAGATGCACGTTGGTCTGAAAGCCCCTGCCGGGAGGGTGCTGTGTGGTTCTCCCTCGTGCCTGTCCAGCCTGGCCAAGGAGCTCGGGCCACTTCAGGTACTTCAGGAACGTTTACGTTGTACTCACGTTATCAACTTTTATAGACGACGGAAGAACGTGCTCGCAAGCGCATATAACGTCAGCTTGATGCGGTTTTACAATGAAGTGGGTATTAACAATTCCTGTAACGAATCTTCACCTTCCACAAAAACTTTGTACTAAGTATTTGGAAGTTGTTACTAAAGGGTCTGTGGATATTTATTTAGTGAGAAAAACAGGTATGACAATGGAAGGGTGAAGTACCTGACTGTTCTATTCCTCAGTGTTGAACTGTCCTTTGCCTGGGCCTGTGCTCAACAATGAGATAAACCAACCGGTGGAGAACATTTTTCTCCTTTACTTACTGGAGCTAGTTTTCAATATCATTTTCCAAAAAGCAACAACAGTTATATAAACAGACTGCTTCAAAGTGTTTTGGCCCCAAAATAAAATGACATTTTGATTTCACATTTCACACTTCGCCAAATGCATGGTCAGCTAACACGTGGAATCAAATAGAAAACAGTTTCAATTGGCAATGCTAGTGAGCACGGTTTTCTTGTGCATTAGCTCTGCATCTTTTATCCAATTCATAGAGAATATCAATGCTAGAACATGACATGGTAAGATTTAGATATGGATAAGTGGAACCTGGGAATAAAATAAGACTTAGCAGAAAACTTACAAAGACAAGCTATAATTTTATCTTGTACAAATTTTATGTGGACAAAAATATTTTGCAACATTTATACCAAAAGAACTATCCTAATGGAAACAATTATATTAAAGTGTAAATGGAAAAGGCATTCTATGTAGTAATTGATCAATAATTAAATTGGGTAGCTCCATATCTAAGATTTTTCTACCTGCCCCTCTTCAGTACCGGGCTGGCTGGCTGCTCAACACACTCTTCCTCCCCTTTTCTTTCCTTTAAGCTGTATAACAGTGACAATTGTCTTCACTGTATTTTTGTTCTCTGGTAATAATAATAAGCATGATGGTGCCTTCTATTAATACATCTTTCCAATCTTGCTGGTAATTTTGTACAGTATAGTGTGAATTGCTGTGCTGCAAAGCCAAATAACTGTATAATGTTGAAAAATCATTGAAGTGTATAAAAATAGCAGTATCTTAAAAAAAAACAAAAAACTTTTTTAAAGAATTAAATTGGCCTGCTCAGTGGGAGTGGCTCAGTTGGTTGATTGTTGTCCTGAGCACCGGAAGGGTGCTGGTTTGATTCCCAGTCAGGGTACATACCTGGGTTATGACTTTGATTCCCAGCGCATGTGTGGAAGGCAACCGATTGCTGTTTCTCTCTCACATAGATGGTTCTCTCTCTCCTTCCCTCCCTCCCTCCCTCTCTCTCATTATGTCCTTGGGTAAGAATTATGAAAAAAAAAAAAAAATTAAACGGACCTAAAAGAATTTGCTCCAAAAAGTAATTTCACAAAGAAAATCTTCAGAATTAATATAATTATCATGAAAATAATTTGTCTTAAGAAAACTGAGTCAAAGGTCTCAGAGAGATACTTGTACACCCATGATCATAGCAGTATTATTTACAATGTGGAAGCCACCCAAGTGTCCACTGATGGAAGAATGAATAAGCAAAATGTAGTCCATACATGTAATGGAGTATTATTTATCCTTTAAAAGGAAGTCAGTTCTGACATAATGATACAACAGGGATGAAACTTGAGGTTCACATTATGCTATTGATGTGAACTTAGCATTAAGTGAAGTAAGACAAAAACAAAAAGACAAATACTGCGTGATTCCATTTATATGAAGCATTTGGAAGAGTTAAAATCATAGAGACAAAGAATGGCAGTTGCCAGGGGCTGTGGTGCGGGAGAGAGGGAAATGGGGAGTTACTGTTTATGGGTATAGAGTTTGGGTTCATGAAATGAAAAGCACTCTGGAGATGGACAGCAGTGACGGATGCTTTGTGAATGTAGTTAATACACCTGAAATGTACATTTAATGGTTAAGATGGTAAATTTTGTATTTTTACCACAATTTTTTTTTTTTTTTTTTGTGGTACGTGCCCCTAGTGGGAAATGAACCGGGACTCTCTGGTCCGCAGGCCGACGCTCAACCGCTGAGCCAAACTGGCCAGGGCCACAATAAAAAATTTTTGAGCCCTGGCCAGTTTGGCTCAGGGTTAGAGCGTTGGCCTGCGGTCCGGAGAGACCCGGGTTCAGTTCCCGCTAAGGGCACGTACCTCGGTTGCAGTTTGTCCCTGGCCCTGGTTGGTCGTGCGGGTGGCAGCCACTCGATGTGTCCCTTCACATCGATGTTTCTCTCTCTCTAAAAAAAAAAAATATATATATATTTTTGAAAAGAACCCTAAGCCCAACCGGTGTGGCTCAGTGGTTGAGCATCTACCCATGCACCAAGAGGTCGCCAGTTCAATTCCCAGTCAGGGCACATGCCCAGGTTGTGGGCCCGATCCCCCGTGGGGGGCATGCAGGAGGCGACCAATCAATGTTCTTGGATACATATCTATGTTTAAGTGCTATTAGTACAGAAGGAGCTGTATATAGAGATGTTGCTTTGAAGCAATATTTGCAAAACATGCAAACTTCTGTATCTGTATTTGGAAAAAATAAAACAGGTTTTTGTTGCTAAAAAAAAAAAAAAAGAACCCTAAATCAGCAAGTAAAAGATTGTTGGGCAACTGGTTGGTCGTGCGGGTGGCAGCCACTCGATGTGTCCCTTTCACATCGATGTTTCCCTCTCTCTCTCTCTCTCTTCCTCTCTCTCCCTCCCACACTGTCTGTACAAAAAATGGAAAAATGTCCTTGGATGAGGATTAAAAAAAAAAAAAAAGATTGTTGGGCAAGAGGATATTTATGCAGTATGAAGGTATGTCACTCACACATACCTACCCAGTTCACTTATTAACTACAAAAGAGAAAAATGAACTTTACCAGGGGGAAATATGGCAGTAACCACTTTAACCAACTGATTGAACACAGCATCACCAAAATTGGAACTGACATAGAGACACCATCCTCTATGTACTATTCTTGCCGAACATGCTTAATCTGAATCCAAATCATGATGAAACCACCAGAAAAGTCCAAATGAAGGGAATTTCTGCAAAATGGATCTAGCCTAGACTCTTCAAAAATAAAAATTTCATGAATATCAAAAGAAAACAAAAGAGCCCTGGCCAGTTTGGCTCAGCGGTTAGAGCGTCGGCCTGCGGTCCTGAGAGACCCGGGTTCGGTTCCCGCTAAGGGCATGTACCTCGGTTGCAGTTTGTCCCCGGCCCTGGTCGGTCGTGTGGGTGGCAGCCACTCAATGTGTTCCTTTCACGTCGATGTTTCTCTCTCTCTCTCTGTTCCTCTCTCTTCCCCCCACTCTACCTGAACAAAAAAATGGGAAAATGTCCTCGGGTGAGGATAAAAAAAAAAAAAAAAAAAAGAAAACAAAAGAGATGTAGCAACTAGCCCCGGCCTGTTTGGCTCAGCGGTAGAGCGTCGTTCTGTGGACCAGTGAGTCACAGGTTCAATTCCAGTCAAGGGCAAGTACCTTGGTTGCGGTTGGTCCCCGGCCCTGGAGGGGGTTGTGCAGGTGGCAACCAGTCGATGTGACCCTCTCAGGTCGATGTTTCTCTCTCTCTCTCCCCACACACACTCTATCTGAAGATAAATAGAAAAATATCCATAGGTGAGGATTAAAAGAGAGAGATGTGGCACCTAAATGCAATGCATAATCCTAAATTAGCTCTGGGTCCAAAACAAGCAGTTTAAACTGACATAATCGGGGAAATTTAAATTGCATTTCCAGCTGCATTGGGTGATATCGTGTCAGTGTTAAATTTTCTGAGCACTTAATTTTGGTTACAGAGGAGAATATTCTTGTACTTTGGAGATGCATGCTGAAATATTGATGGATAAATGTGATATCTGAAATAAACTCAATTAGTTCAGAGGAAGAAACAGATCAAGCAAGTGGGGCCAAACGTTGACCACATGTGACTGTAGGTGAAGCGTATCTTTTTTTTTATCCTCACCCGAGGACATTTTTTCCAGTTTTTGTTCAGATAGAGTGGGAGGGAGAGAGAGGAAGAGAGAAACAGAGAAACATTGATGTGAAAGGGACACATCGCGTGGCTGCCACCCACATGACCCAACCAGGGCCGGGGACAAACTGCAACC